CACGACGTTCCTACGGTACGTTACGTAACAAACGGACGACGTAGCGCTTCGTTCGTCACTCACACGACCATCGTATTTTTGTTCTACGCCACTCTCTCTCCTCCTCTCTCTCTCTCTCTCTCTCTCTCCACCATAACGAATTGCTTTTTTGGAGCCCATCTCTCTCTTGGAAACACCTCAAACTCACCCATTTCATCGTACAACCCATGCACCAGCTTCAATCCCTGTGTTTCGCTTTTGAATTTTTTCCTGATTCAATTGATTTCCTTGACCCACTTGATTCTTTAAACAAAAAGACTTGTTTTAGAGTTTTAGTATCGGGCTCCATTGAAAAGTTAGCTTTTGTATCCCTCAGTCTTTCGCCATGGCTGCCTTTTCTCAGAGCTTTTCATCTGTTCAAGCCCTAAACCAGAAGACCCATATTTCTATTCCTTGTAATTCAGCCTATGTTGGAAATTTGAGGGTTACCCAACATTTCTTGATCGCTGATAATTCAAGTGGTTGCATGGTTTCGAATCATGTCGATCCCTGTAAAAGGGGTCAGAGTTTGATCATGGCGACTTGGAGTGTTGAGGGTGCTTCTCAAGATGTGGAGTTACCTTCTTCAATCGAGCTCGAGCCAATCACCAGCGAAAAACAGTTTGATCGAGTGATAGCCGAGGCCCAAGACCTTGAAGAATCTGTGATCATACTCTGGTCATAATGATCTGATTTTTACTTTCATTCTGCTTCTCATTTCTTTTTTTGAAATAATTGGCTATGGATTCTTTCTTGTCGGAGTTTCTTATGTTTTCGCACGAGTTTTATGGTACAAAAAAAAAAGAAAGAATCGAGGTGACTATATGGTATAAACTTCCTGTCCACAAATTTGGAATCTAAGTGAAAAGTTATTAGTTGATGGGTAACCATACTGGGTTTTGATGAATTGATTCCCCCTATTGGTATTCTCTGGTTAGTGATTGTTGGGCTCTATTTTTCTGTTTCTGTGATGCTTTGAATAGAGTTTTCATTTTTTTTTCAATATATTTGTTGATACAGAAAGCCCCATTTAAAGTGTAATTATTGAGAGAATAAAACCATCTTAATTGTTTTATTTGGCTTTTTTAAGCATGTAGGATGGCCAGCTGGTGCAGAAAATGCGTATATTTGAAACCCAAATTGGAAAAATTGGCAACAGAATACTATCCCAGGTATCATCAATATCTAATTGTAATATGTGATTATATATGACTTGCTCACTTTGGTGTTTTACAACTTCTGGAACTTATGCATTTTTCTTTGGTGAATTATCAAGTTTCAGTACTTAAGTCTTTTGTTGATTAACTAAGTTCTAGTGCTTAGATTTTCAGCATGGTTAATCAATCAATGAAATACTATTCATAATTATCTCAGGGATTGAGTTTCTCTTTCCATATTTTGTATTGATCATAAGCATATATTACTCAGTAATCTCTAAAGGTCCTTTTTCTGCACTTTCTTATCTAGAATCCAGTTCTACTGTATCAATGTTAACTCAGTCCCTCAAAGGCTTGTGAATCGTGCTGCAGTAACTGTAAGTCCCATTTGCTCAAAAAATCTAATGCTTGTTTCTATTTAATTCATGTATTTCTTTTATATTATAACTATTGTTTACAAATTCAGCTGGTCCGACTCGGGCTCCCCCGAGTTACTCAAAACGGTACCCTATGGGTTCTGGCCGAGCCAAACTCAGATGATTCGAGTCTACTCGAGCCTGTTCAAGTCTGAACTGAGTCCGTCAGATCGTTCAAAAATTTCAGTGAATATTCTTCAAAAACTACAGTTTACTGAAGATGACACTCCGCGTGTTGACTTGGAACTTGCCTAATCAACTAACTTCAGGCAGTATCCAAGTCTCAGTGCAAGTCTGAGGTTTAAAACACTGATTATAACAGTCATACGTATACTGTGTACTAGAAAATACCCCATAAAGTTCACCTCTTGGGACTTTTACACTTACATATCTACTTTGATTCTCTCGCCCATTGTTTGTATGTTCCGCGGGATTCCTACAAATAATGTAGGATCTAAAATTTCCATTTTAGTGTCTGAAACTAAAGTATTCCTGACAGAAAAGGTTTTCTTGTTCTTTCAAATTGAACCAATGATTGAAAACATAGGTTCGGGCTTGGAACTGAGCAGGGCCTGAGCTCAAGTCAGCCGATTTGGGATTGCCCACCCTAGGTGGAGGACTAGGTCGCCACCTAGGTTGGGAACATTTTGAAACCATAGCTAGTGGGATCACCAAACCTAAGTGATGATTTAACTCTAGTGCACTCCAGGAGAGGGATGTTGATTTTTAAATTTATGAATCTCGATCCCACTGTTAGGCAATGAAAGCCCGAAGGTTGGGAATGATCCCAATCTTTTAAAGATTAAACTGTTTAATTTTTACAAAAATTGAATAGTGTAGTTTTAAATTGTTCTAGTTTTTACTATTACGCTGTTTAATTCGAGTTCTGAGTTAAAATTGTAAAATTAGACAATATAATTTTAATTTCTTGTGAGATCCCAAATGGAGTGAGATCTTGAAAAGGTTGGGATCAAGATCCCCAAAAGATGAAAATTAAGTTCATTTGAATATGCATTGTCTCAGGGGCGCTCCCTACCACAGGGAACCTCTAGCCTTTTGGGAACTCCCAACCTTGCTCCTGATTCCAACAACTATGGATCAAACTAAGGTTTATTTTGTTGAGATTATGGTTTAGATAGGTAGGTGAGCTCTTGCGTCCAGTGCTTAGATTCTATGGCAATTGTTTGTGGCGGCATATTCAATTTGCATATCTAGCATAACAAGTTGAACCAAGTGGTGCATATGGATGATGCTTTTATGGAAGCTCCAATGTTATCCTATAACTGTATAACAAAGGGAAGAGATAAACATTATTTGCATTGATCAATCTTTACCCCAGGACTTCCATATAATAGCTAGATAAAATATGCATGAGCACAACAATCCTACATACATGAAGAACAATATTGGCTATAGTATTTGTATTTGTGACAAAAAGTCTAATGAGATACATGCTATATATTTAAACTATCTCCTTCCCACACCAACACCACCACAAAATCAAACTCTGAGTGCAGGCACAAAGATCCCACAGTTTGGAAAAATTACAATTTGAAACACTAAAGCCCTTAAATATTTCAAGTTGTCAACAAAGTCAGAAAACAAAATCTTCGATGTTATGTACAAAATCTATCAACAGAAATCTATTAAAAAATAAGCCTGATACGTACTACCCCATTACAACATATGTAACATAACAATATATACATTTTAATATACTCTCCTTTCACAAACTTCTGAGAAAATGTGCATCTGCATGACAGTAAGGGTGGAGGAAATAAAGGGATATCTGGGGAGATGCCACACAATGGAGACAGATAATTTTCATTGTATTATTCTCTCAAAATCTGAACATAGAGACTATATACAGCTCATTCTTCCTATGTCTAATCAATGGAAGGGTCCATCTACCGAGTCCTATGCATATGATCCAATAAGGATCACATGATAGTAGATTTATACTAGAATTCTGGTAAAATTTCTCCTTGTAACCAAGTAGATAGGGTGCGTTACATTGTTAGTTTTAGTGATTGTGGCTTACCCATTCAGTGTCTTTGAACTGGAAATTACCTATATGGTTGATACAGTATTGGGTGGACTAGATCTAGAATGACCCTTTTAGTGTTGGCCTCTGTGCTAAAATTTAAGGTTCAAGTTGGGTTCTAAACTCGACATAGCCTGTGGAAAGTCCACTTGAGACCCAGGACTCAGATTTGCCGAGTTTCATCTAACATTAAAAAAAAAAAAATTAATAAAAGCTAAGATAACAATTAGTAGATAACAATAAAGGACATAAATAGTAACCTTTTGAGGTCCAGAATACTTTTTGGGATAGAAGAAATGGCCATGAAACCTCCAAAGCCACCTCCCAATGAGCCCCTAAAAAATGGGTTGAAATCAACGGAAACCAAGAAAGTCAACAAAGCCCTTAAATATTTCAAGTTATCAACAAAGTCAGAAAACAAAATCTTCAATGTTATGTACAAAATCTATCAACAGAAATCTATTAAAAAATGAGCCTGATATGTACTTCCCCATTACAACATATGTAACATAACAATATGTACATTTTAATATACTCTCCTTTAACAAACTTTGGAGAAAATGTGAATCTGCATGACAGTAAGGGTGGAGGAAATAAAGGGATATCTGGGGAGATGCCACACAATGGAGACAGATAATTTTCATTGTATGATTCTCTCAAAATCTGAACATAGAGACTATATACAGCTCATTCTTCCTATGTCTAATCAATGGAAGGGTCCATCTACCGAGTCCTATGCATACGATCCATTAAGGATCACATGATAGTAGATTTATACTAGAATTCTGGTAAAATTTCTCCTTGTAACCAAGTAGATAGGGTGCGTTACATCTGTAAAATAAAATCAATAAATAGACCAGTCGTCCCATATCTTTTGCCTATTGGCCTTTAATACTCCCCAAGTGATGTGGTGGATCCAAGAGCATAAATCTCCAACCAATTATTGATGGTGCGAGCTGGTCGTAGCCTTTGTAAATGTATCTACACTATCAATAATGGTCGTAACCAATTATTGATGGTATGAGCATAAATCTCTAACCATGTGGTTGCAAATAGGTTACAGAAATCCGAAATCAATAAGTAGGTATAATTTTGTTGCCTGATTTTCTGACTTCGCACTAGATTAGAAAATGGTGTCATGCTTTCTTTTATTTTCATGATAGTACTGATTAAACAAGATAACACTAACGCTAATACTTGATATTTAGTATCCAAATAACGAACACAGTTCCTAGTAGCATGGGATGAAGGGGATAGAAGGTTCTGGTCAGTTTTTGCCTCTAACATAACAAATAATGCCAGACGTAACTGTTACATGGGGACATATAGGGCCTGAAAAAAAAAAACTAATTCACAAGTTTGCCCGACATATGGGATATTAGGAATTTAGGATGGGTCACAGTCAAGTATTTTCTATATCGCTACTTATAGTTGCCTCGGGGTCTCCATCATATTTAAAGTTTTTGATGTTTCAACACTAACAAGCTATCCACAGTCTAATCAATTAGTTGATGGTAGAAACCTTAAATTGTCCGATATCTATCTGATGCCCCTGCGACTTCATCACCATGAAAATACACCTGGCAACCAATTCCATTTTGAGGGCAGTTGGAAAAACCCTCTTCTGTTCAGCAATATACATTTTTATTGCAACCCATGATCAACAAGTCCTTGAGATATATTAGGAGATAGTTCCTTTCTTGTTTATCAATGAAAGAGACAATGATCATACTCACTTTGTGCATATCCATCTTAAACTGACCAAAAAAAAAAAGGAAGGAAATTTCTCAAACCATGCTTGTGGGCTTGCTTAAGTTATAAATGCCTGTTTGCATTGCATACCCAATTCATTGTTCATTGTCTGTATTGTCTATGTTTGGGAGGCAAAAGTTGGAACAAAAGTAGGATTTATTCTTTGGTGGTCGGCTTTCTTCGCCAAGTTTTGGCAGCTTTCAAAAGAGAGGAAAATAGGCTTTTCCAAGAAAAAAATTGATCCTACCTTATATGCCTTCTCCTTCCTTCTGCTCTAAAGCATCTGGAAGTGTTCTCTCCTTAATTTCTTTTACTTAGGCACACAACTCATGGCATTGTTCTCTGATTAGGATATCCTGATGACCTCTTGATCACTGGTGATGACCAACAGGGGATTTCTTGTTTTGAAAGATTTCTTGACATGAAGAGAATTCTTCAAAACCACTTGGAGATGAATGATTTGGGCCACATGACTGACTTTCTTGGATTGGAACTCACTAGAGCAATGCATACTTACTTCCTTTCTTAGAGAAACTATGAAAGGCACTTAGTTACTTTAGCATCACTGATGAAAGGATTGTTGGTGAATATTAATACCCAAAGGGTGATGGAGTGACCCTTAAGGATTCCACCCCTTATTGGCAACTAGTTGGGAGTTGATGTATCTTGAGATACCCCTTCTTGATATGACACATGTAGTTCATATCGTACGTCAGTTTGTCTATGCTACTTGATAACTTGAGTGTAATGCATCATATCGTTTGCTATATACAAGGGGTCTTGGTTATTTCCAGCATTTATTCCCTTGCAGTTCATAGCATAATCTGACTTTTGTGTGGGCGGGCGTCAGAATTCAAGGCATTCAACTACTGGATTTGTATTTAGCTGGGGCAATCCTTAATTTCTTGGAAATATAAGAAGCGGCAAACTGTCTCAATATCCAGAACAATGGTGGAAAACAAGGCAATATCTTCTGCTTGCAGTGATATTGTTTGGTTACTTGACCTTCCATAGGATTGTGTGTGCCTTTTACATCCCCCACTCCCCTACATGCCGATAATTTGAGTGCTATACATATTTCGTTTAATAATGTGTTTCATGAGTGCTTCAAGCCTGTTGAGGTTGATCATCACTTTATTTGGATGGGCATCTTTATATCACTTAT